CCTCCCTCCCTCTCTGCTCTTCCTCCTCCCTCCCTTTCTCTCTCTCTCTCTCTCTCATTCTCTCTCTCTCTCTCCCTCTCCCTCTCCTTTCCTCCCTCCCTCCCTCTCTGCTCTTCTTCCCCCCTCCTTTTGTCTCTCTCTCTCTCTCTCTCTCCCTCCCTCTCTCCCTCTCTCCCTCTCCTTCTCTCCCTCCCTTCCCTAAGCCTGGGTTCAAATCCCAGGGTCTGGCCTTGGGAAAATCTAACTCTGTTGGTCTAAGGTCCTCCCAAAGAGGTGATCGTGTCATACCATCTAGTCTAAACAAAATCTCACAAAAATCCCCTCTGCCCGCCCCCCCAATATGGGCTCACCCAGGGCTTTGCAGGCAGACCTCCAGGAATGTTCGCTGACTAAGCAAGTAACTAGTCGCACTCACGGTCAGATCCAGCTGTCAGAAACTTCTTCCTCGTGTCAGACTGAAATTTGCCCCAGTCACTTTCTCCCTCCTGGCTTCTGGGACCAAGCAGAAACACGTCTAATAATCCCTGCTTTGCTAATGCTTGAAGACGATTATGACATCACACCTAAGATGTCTTGATCGCTTACCTTGGCTTTGCACATGGGAAACATGGATTTTGGAATGAGTCAGTTTGAACCCGAGAGAGGTAAGAGAAATGTGGTGCAAGGGAAGGAGAGGGCACTTGACTGGGGGCCAGAGGATCTGGGTTCAGATTCCAGCTCTGCTCCTTATTACCTCCATGACTTCGGTTAAGTCACTTAACCTCGGGTTTTTCATCCATAAAATGATGGTGTTAGACCAGATAATCTCAATTGTTCAGTCATTTTTCGGTTGCACGCCACACTTTGTGACCCCATTTTTAGAGTTTTCTTGACAGAGACACTAGAGTGGTTTGTCTTTTCCTTTTCCAGCTCATTTTACAGATGAGGAAACTGAGGCAAATGAGGTTAAGGGACTTGCCCAAGGTCACACAGCTAGTAAGTGTCTGAGGCTGGATTTGAACTCAAGTCCTCCTGACTCTAGGTCTGGCTCTCTATCCACTGTGTCACCTAGCTAAGGTTCATTTAATTCAACAAACATGCCTTCCAGCTGTGACATGTTCTCTGTTTTAGAGGTCTTTCTAGCACTAACATTCAATGTTCTTCTGATAGTTCCAAGAGGGCAGGGGCTGCGTCATTTCTGTCTTTGCATCCCCAGGGCCTGGCATATAGTAGGTGCATATTCAATGCTCGTTGATTGATTGTTTTCCAAGGGCCCTTCCAGCCCTGCCATTCTAGGATTCTACAGAGAAAGAAGTCCCATGCCAGTGGACAGCAACTTGGTGGCTCAGCTCCCTGCTCAATGTCATCCCTTCTCCTCCACCCCCCCCAGTCTCATCCTCATTGTCTGTCCTGCAGGTCATTCATTCTGTGTCCTCTCAATGTCCCATAGTGCCATCCCGAAGCCTCCTGTTCTATGATGAGGGGGCCAGTTCGCTGGAGGATGGCTACAGCTCCCTGCTGCCTGTGGAACCCCCGGAGGGCTGGGAGACCAAGCCAGGTACCCCTGAGGAACAACAGCCCCAAGATCATCTCTCCCACGGCCACCTGGCCAGCTCCCACGAGGCCACCAAGTACCTGAGCAAGTCCCACCTAGAGGCCCCAGATGGGAACGACACCCGCCCCGACTTCATCCACCCCAAGGAGCGGTTCCATGAGAGGTGGGTGATGGAGGTCCCCAGGGGTCTTTGGAATGGGATCAACTTCAAGGGGTCCAATAATAGCTCAGAGCAAGGCTGCTGGCTGGCTGCTCATCATTTCTCAGGCCACTAGCCCTTCCACAAAACCTGCCTAACTCAGTTGTTCTAAATACTAGGCAAGCCACTTCATCTTTACAAGCCTCAGTTTTCTCATTGGTAAATGGAGTTAATTGAACTTGTTTAATTGACCTCAGAGAGCCCTTATGGAGAAAATGATTGGAGAGTTATATAGGGTGCTACTGATGAGTTGTTATTATAATTATTATTAGCCTCAGGCAAGGGGGCAGTAATACCAAGGTCTATCACTAACCACCCATTCCCCTTGCTTCTTGCCACCAGAGAGACGCATCCAAACGGCACCACAACATACTTGTAGCACCCACCAGAGCCCAGGATACAGCCTGGACCCCAAGCCACTCAGAAGAAGGGGGACCTTACTCAACACTCCCAATCTGATCCACATCCCTGCCCACAACCAGCCCCTCCTTCTCTTCCCTGGTGGGTCCTGCCCACCCCAGGCAGGAGATTCTGGAAGGATGGCACGAGGGCAGGCAGGGGAGAGGGAGAAGAGGAAGCAGAAGGCCATCCTGGCCTTGGAACATGTCCCTTCTCCCAGGGCCCCTGCAGCCTCTCCTAGGTGGGGGTCCACTCTCACCCATCACCACTACAATTGAACTGTCCACTAGTGAGGAGTTCTCAATTTTCTCTCCTCCCTCCATCCCTGGTTCAGCCTTGATGTTCCCTCCCTCCTAGCCCCAGGGACCCTGTCCTCTGGGCCAGAGGGGAGGGGCATAAACCCTCCCTCTGGGGCTGGATTGTATATAAGCATCATCATCACATTCCCCAGCCCCCTCCCTCTTCCTTCTCATCCCTCATCCTTCATCTCAGCCCTCTAGGTAGAAGGAGGTTGGAAAGTGTCCATCCCTTTCCTCTCTTAGGCCACTTTCTCTCCCAGGGTAGGGCCCCAAATCCACCGGGGGAGGGGGGAGGGAAGCCTGCCTAGAGAGTCCTGGCCTTGGAGATGGAATGAGACAAGGGAGGTCCCTTTCCCGCCTTCTCCCCTCCCCCCACCCCGACCGGCGGCCTCCTGGAGAACTCTTAGGCAAAGCTGTTCCCTTACATAAGGGAGGAACTTTTCCTAGGACTTCTCCAGGTACTGATGCCCTTCTCCCCCCCCCCCCCCCCCCCCCCCCCCCCCCCCCC